TCCAATTTGTAATGTTTGAGGTGGCAATTTAATAGCTGAGTGAGATTTTTAACTGGATCTCCTGGTGCTGTGTCTTGTGATCACCACAGTGTGGCATCTCTTGTTCTCCAACCCCCATTGTTGTCATTGTAGTAGAATGTGTTTAAAAACCTGGGGGTCAGATATAGAAGTACTTTCTTGCCTCTGCTGTATAAGTAGAGTGAGTTGTACCTATCAAGGGGGCTGGCTACTCTATAGAATGAGGCAAGGTATCAGCTGCATGCTGCTCAACTCCTTGAAGTTTTTGTTTTGTTTTTTTGTGGAACCAGGGATTGAACTCAGGCCCTTGCGCTTGCCAGGCAAGCACTTATTCTATTGAGCTATCTCCCTGGCCCCTGTTTTTTTTTTCTTCTCGAGGTTTTTACACAACTGCCAGTGTTTCTCAGTATTGCTGTCTCCCAGCCCAACCAGGGCAAGATAGCCATCTGCATCATTTCTTTGTAATCATTGATAACCACTTGCAAGGAGGCTGAACCTAACCATTATGGAAGTGGTTAAAGTTGTGTTTTGTTTGTTTTTTTGAATGGGGTGTGGCTGTGTAGTTCAGGCTGGCCTTGAATTCACTAAATAGCCCAGGCTGTGCTCAGACTTACAGCAATCCTCCTGCCTCAGCCGCCCAAATGCTGGAATTGTATGCATGCACCACCATGCCCAGCTCAAGTGTGGTTAAAGTTGTAAGGTGCCAGTTAGACGATGGATTCTGGGCCCTGAGGATCTTCCAGTTGGTTTCCAAGAGGCCCCCAGGGCTGTGCTGAGTCTGCCTGTAAGACATGTATTCCTGCCAGGCCATAATTCTGGCATTCAGGATGAGACAAGAGGATTACAAATTTGAGGCCTGTCTAGGCCTCATGAGACCCTGTCTCAGAATGAACAACAGTAACAAAAGACTTGTATTTGTGAAGTCTCCATTTAACCAGATAGTGACTCAAGACAGTGTACATAGGGGCTGGGGAGATGGCTCAGTGGAATAAATACTTCCCGGCAAACACCAGGGCCTGAGTTCAATCCTCGGTTCCAAAAAAAAAAAAAAAAAAAAGAAGTATACATAGTCTACTTTGCTTTCAGTCAAGTAGGACTTAACTCACAGTGGTCCAAAACTGGGGAAAGCCACTAGGGTTCCAATAACCAAAAATGGTATGTTCTAGGCTCTTCGTTAGTCCAGGAATACAGTTAGTAGGGGCTCTCATCCACTGGTCTTTTGTGTCCTCTCTGTGTTTTTTCTTTTTTTGGGTACAGGGATCACACACAGGACCTTGCATTTGCCAGGCACACGCTTAAGCCACTGAACATCTCCCCAACCTCCACTGGTCTTTTGGGAGAAAGCACACATTGAGCAACTTAGCCAGAGATTGGCCAACTCAGGCTTTCTAGAAAAGTGTAGCTGAAGGCAGTCATGGTAGCCCCCACTAACTGTATCCCTGACTCATACAGGGTTCAGTTCAACTCAAGGCATATTTGCATTCCTGTTGGCACCAAGGAAGCCAACAGGAATGCAGATATGCCTTGAGTTGAACTGAATAGGTCTAGACACTATTAGAATTTTAGGGGCCGGGGAGATGGCTTAGTAGAATAAGAACTTCCCTGGCAAGCGCAAGGGTCTAAGTTCAATCCCCAGATCCGAGAAAAAAAAAAAAAAAAAAAAAAAAAAGAGTGCTTCTAGAATTATACCTTCTGACTGGCATGGTGGCACATGTCTGTAATTCAGAATTCATGAGGCTGAGGCAGGAGGATTGCTGTGAGTTCAAGGCCAGCCTGGGATACAAAGTGAGTTCACAGCCAATCTGAACTACATAGTAAAACCCTGTCTAAAAATATAAAAAACAACAAAACCATAGAAGTTCACCACCTGACTATTAATTGTGGCATGTTGTATTAAACACTGAGGAACCCAGATATGGGAGTTACTTCACTTTTATCAAGGCCATGTTTTGAAATTAAGCTGCATAACTTCATGATGGGCTCTCAGCTTGAAATATGACTGTAGCTTCACTTATGACAGTTTGATGACTCTTTGGCAGTGCAGAGAGGGCAGAAGCTTCTGTAGTTTCTATGAGATATACTTGTAATTATCCTTGAGGTGTGTCAGAGCCCTTTGGACCCGAGAGCTCATATTGTCCCCCAAAGTGAGTGCAGAAGCTTGGGTTTCTAGAAGGCTACCTTATCCCTTCTTCAAAGTAGCCAGAGAAAGGGGATGACTAGTGCACCAGCCTGTCCAGGTATAGCTAACCTTAACCCTGTCTCCCTAGCATTTCCAGTAGTCCTAGACTTTTGGTAAGGACTTCCTATCATGGCTCTGCCTGTCCAGGCAGGCTGTTTCATGTAGTAAACATACAAAGAACTAAGGACTGGGAACCAAGTACACCGGCACATGCCTGTATGTAATCCCAGCTTCTCAGGAGGCTAGGCAGAGGATCACAAGTTAGAGGGCAGCCTGGGCAACTTAGTTAAGAGTTTGTCTCAAAATAAAAAAAGGATATAGGGAATGTAGCTCAGTTGTGAAGCACTCGTAGGTTCAGTCCCTAGCAGAGCAAAAAAGTATGTTGAGGACTTTGGGCCCACACCTGGACTGTTTGTGGCAGAATGTGTCCCAGAAGTGTGGATCAAGCTTAGGCACAGATTCTCGTTTTGGTGGCTCATCACATCCACCACTTATTTCTAGTGGTGCTTTAGTAGGGTTTTATGGAGTCTTTGAGGGGACATCCAGGCTTCCTGGCACCTATATAGTCTTAGCTATGTGGGTCCCAGAAGAAGAACTTTGTTTTGTAAGGGTGAAAGTTTCTGGAGTCCTCCAACTCTAGTTTAATGGTTCATCTTATTTCCTCTGGGTTCTGCTTCCTGGTCCTCTGAGTTCAGGGGTGTGAGGCCTAAAAGGGCTCATATACTCTAATTTATATCCTCTTGTCTAGTCGTTGCCCAACTTGCTTGATTCCTGAAACGAAGCCAGATATATTTTTCTTTATTTGCTCAGATGGAGAAACTGAGGCCTAAAGTACTAGCCTGGACTCGTGGGGGACTGGGGAGGGATGGCACCCAGGAAAAAATCTTTCTGCTAGGTCCTGCTTTCCTAATCCTGGACTAGCCCAAAATGGAGACTGAAATTGATGAGCCAGTCAGTAAGTTATGCCCCTCAGGACTTCCCTGCTCTGAGGCCAGAGCAAAGTGGCAAGGATAGCTGCTCTGCCTGCCTTCTCACCTGCCCGCTAGTGTGGACCTTGGTACATCAGAATATTATTTTCCAGCTGGAAGGAAGGTTAGACACCCCTGCCAGCCTCTGGAGAAAGACCCTGCCAAAGTTTACAGTGGCTCTTGCCTGTCAGGCTGGATGTCTCACTTAGGTTCAAACCTTTTCTCCCTTGACTTTCAGGATGTTGACCTACTGCCTTCTGACCCTATTTTCCCCATCTGTTTATAATAGGTCAGACAGTGGAGAGTGACTTTGGTGGTGGCAGCTTTGAGGAAAAGTGAGAACTGTAAGGACCAGATGTAGCTTTTGGGTTTCCCACCTGCTTTCTTCCCATTGGTGCACACTGTAATCCCAGCACTGGGGAGGCTGAGACAGGAGGATCACTATGAGTCCAAGCTGTGTAGTAAGACCTTGTAACCAAATACATTTAAAAATAAAGAGGGGCCAGAGAATTAGCTCAGTAGAATAAGGGCCGGAGTTCAATCCCTGGTTCCGTTTAAAAAAAAAA